GAAAGAACGTACCTCGAGGGACTTGCCAAACACCTTGCTTGTGGACTGTGAACTCGTTCTCATGCACACGTACTTCCACAGTACCAGACTGTACGTTGAAGATCATGTGCATGTACCGTGAATTCTTCGTGCGCTTCATCTGATCCGGACCGAGTTCGATGAGACCCCAGTTGAAGAAGTTGCCGATGGATCCAATCTTTGCGTATTTGAAGCCGCCATCTCCGACGGCTACGGGCTCGACACCCCTTTCGTTCCATGCGATGGCTGTGATATGGTTAGTGACAATTGATCGTTCTTGAGGTTTGAGGCCACTTACTGTCCTCGATGATGTCGTTGGAGGGAACATCACCAACAGTGTCGAAACCTCTAAAGTTGCCAACAAGAGTGCCTTGCTCTTCCCAGGGGTCGAGCTCGATTTCCTCTTCTTCGACAACAGTGAGCGCCCTCTTTTTGCTCTTGTAGCTGGACTTCTTGGTGGGTCTCCTCTCTTCTTCCACTGCTTGACTCTTCACAATCGACGACATGCTGCCGTCGGGGTCGTAGGAGATGTGGTCGTTCTTCCAGAAGTCGATGGGCGCAACACGATGTCTGCCTGTCCGTCCTATGCGAGCGACATTGTCGGGATCCATCTCGCGGAATACTGAAAGATGTCGTCCCCGTCCGAAGCGTGAGCCAGCTGATGTCGCAGATATTTGGTCGATATCCTTTCTGCTGAGAGGATTTCCGTACGCATCTACCAGCTTACCGGCCTCCTCACTCTCCGCCTGTGGAGTCTTGGATTTTGATACTCCATTGGACCTTGGCTCTGCACTTGCCGATTTCGCTTTGGACTCTGCGTTTGCTTTCGGTCTGCCTACAGGTTTCGCGGGCTTTGTGAATTCTGCATTGGGCTTCGCTGGTTTGGCTGATGCTGATGCCGATGCTGAAGATGTTGCTTTGTCGCCATTTGGCTGCGCTTTAGCTGGCCGTCCGCGCTTCTTTTGTGCAGGCGCTTCCTCGACTTGTTCCGACTGATCTACTGGGTCGTCGGCCGGCGCTTCAACGATACTGTCGTCCTGTTCCCCATTTGGCTGCGCTTTCGCGGGTCGGCCGCGCTTCTTCGGTGCAGGCGCTTCCTCGACCTGTTCCGATTGATCTACTGAGTCGTCGACTGGCGCTTCAACGATGCTGTTCTCTTGTTCGCTAACCGGTTGCACCTTGGGTGGCCGTCCTCGTCGTTTCGGCGCAACGGGTGCTTCCTCAACCTGCTCAGATTGATCGATCGAGTCATCCACGGGCGCGTCCAGTTCGCTGACGTCGGATACACGTTGTGAGCGTCGGCGCTCGGCTGGCGCAGTCTTCTTGCTCTTCTGTGACTCCAAAGCTTGCGCTGCGGTAGGGCGGCCCCGTTTGCGCGGCTTCTCTGCTGGTTCCTGCTCCCCTTCTGAAATCTCCACCACATCGCTCTTTCGTTTTCTACCCCTCTTGGCCTTCTCTTTTGGTGGGTCTGGAACAATTTCAGACTCCTCCTCACGATCCAGCTCCTCAAGGTCCTCAACGACCTGGTCATCGGCCATGCTCTCGTCGCCTCCGATTTGCGCAACGAAACTCTCCTCAGCGGCTATCCCCAACTCGTTGGCAGTGATTTCTTCCTGCACAATGCTCTCTTCAAATATCGCACTCTCTGCCGGGCCCGGCGATTCTTCTTCCGGTATATCGTACACATCTGATCGTTTTCCTCGTCGCGCGCCTGAGCCGCTCAGCGCTGGCGTCTCTTGTAGGCTTGATTCGTCCTGTTCGAAGTCGAGGCGTCGCGCAATCGGCTGTGCGGAGTCGCGGATGGGGCTGGATGGGGGAGGAGAGCTTCCCCTCGGCGCCATGGAGGATTGCCGTCGCGGCGAGGAGCCGAGGTTGGTCTTCTTGGGCGATCGCGATCGGGGTGGAGGGAGGAGCGTTCGGTTGTTGCGCAAGATCTGGTGGGATGTGGTGAGTTCTGGCATTGAACCTGGCGGGCCTGTTAGTGACATCCCTCGCGATTGCGTCGACATCTGCGCACTCTCTTGTATTTCCATCGAGCCTGATCCTGTCGCATCATTCCCTTGTTTGGGTGGGGATCTCTCTGGCGACGAGAAGATGCCGGAAATTGGTTCGAGGCCATGTTCGTCGTATACGCCTTTGTCTGCGAGTGTGATGCCAGTCTTCCTGCGCAATGTCAGTTATTGTTTACGCGCATACATCAGAGCGTCTCTCTGCCTACCTTCCCTGCACGCCAACGTTGTAGTAATTGTTTTCGCGCGCTTCGCGTTTCTTTGTGGGCGCCATCTTCAGAGTCGTGTCCGCAAGGAATGAATGCGCGTGTGGGTGCGGGTGACGCGTCGGTGGTGTCGCGGTTGGATCGCGAGGGCGCTGTCGATAAGTTGTTTGGGTTTAGGCGGGATGTAAACTAACCGTTAACGGCGGGAAGGCACAGGGTCTTGGCGCCTTCCCCTCCAACTCCAATCCGCCATCGCCATCACACAGGCCATCACGAGATGTAGTACAGCGTCTATATTTACTTCTTAGTCTAATGCAATCTGCTCCTTGTGACTTTTAACATCACTGTCAGGAATTCGGTTGCCAAGTCTGACATCACGGAGCCACCCAAGAGTACATGCATGGCAGCATCCCACCCACCGTGACAAACTAGTTTAGCGCACATCCATCACGGTGCATGAAAACGGCGCAGTATAAGTTGAGGAGCCCACCCAATCGTGGGGACTTTTCCGGTTTCTTCATTCAACCTCAGCCGGCTCTCAGTTGCTAATTCGCATCCCAGACACCAGTCATCCGCCAAAACGAGAGAACACTCGCTCTCCTACAGCCACAGTCGTCGTGCAGACCACGCACTGCTTCATTCATTGCTCGCATCAAGCATCCGCTCTCCCATCCACCCACATTGTATCTCCCACCAAACGCTCTTCCTGGATCAAGACTTTTTCCCATAACCAACTCTCTTGACGTACAGCCAAAACAGGAAAAGGCCGTCCAATCATGCCCGGGCGACGATGTGCTTTTCGTGAAGCGTCGAAAAACGGCAGCGAGCCGCTGAATGAAAATATACAAGAAAAGAAATCGTAAGCATGTCGATGATTCGTCACATCGTGGGCGCAATCTCCAACGTCGCTCATGCTATCAGAGCGACTTGGAAGTTCGAAACTCGTTCCAGATCAAAACATCGACGGCATCTGGAACACCCTACTGGGGGCAGGCGCTCTGGACGTGGCCGGGCTGCTTGCAGCGGTAGCACACGCGCTCAGATGAAGTCTCCTGGGGGCAGTCGCGCGACAGATGGCCAACCTCGCCGCCTACAAAAGGTTAGTCATGCTCTTCCAAGTTCATCGCCGTGTACTTACAGTTGTAGCACTTCTGTCCCTGGGTGCAGTCACGGCTCATGTGACCGAAACCACCGCACGAATAACACGTGGTTTGGCGAGCACCTCCGTAGCCACCGGCACCACCGCCGTAGCCTCCACGACCGCCGCCGTAGCCGCCAGCAGCACCGCCGTAGCCACCGCCCTGGGAGCAGTTGCGGGCAATGTGACCGACCTGGCCGCACTTGTAGCACTCTTGGCTGGGGGCGCCACGGCCACCCATCTGGGCACCGCCGTCCTTGGTGCACTCGCGCGAGATGTGGCCGGTGCCACCGCAGCGGTAGCAGGTCTTCTCAGCCTGGGGAGAAGTGCACTCGCGGCTCACGTGGCCCTTCTCGCCGCAGTTGTAGCAGGTTGGGGTACCCTTGGTGGGGCACTCGGCAGCGCGGTGAGAGGAGTCTCCGCCTGGACATGGTCAGCGCGTGTTCAGAGATGCAGTTCTGAGTCAGGAATGGTCGTCTCCGCGCTTGAATACCGATCTGGACCTGTCGCTGGACCCTGAGGCGTGACGCTCTCGCGATCTGATATTCAAAGCGGGGCCGCATTCGGACCGTGTCACCGCATCGTGGGTATAGAATCAACTTACAGTTGTAGCAGCCACGGCCACCGGCAGCGGGAGCAGGTGCTTGGTAATCCATTTTGTAGAGTTGGAAGACTGGTGAGTGTTAGCTGTAGTCCGCACGCGCCATGCCATGATGTTGGGCTTTGTTCTTACCGGAGTATCGAAAGGGTAAGGGAGTGACGTTAGAAGATGATTGTCTTCTAAAAAGGTATTGAAATAGTCGTTCAAAAGTCGAACACCACCAATTGTTTGATTATCGGAAGCTGAGGGGTTGGATCGTTGGAGAGAGAGAGCGAGGGGCACAAAGTCGACTGCTGAAAATATCTGTTCGGGCTGGGTTGTGCTTGCCGCTAGTCTAAGCGAAATACGGTCTAGCTTCACCGTTCATTCTTGCCTTCAAGGTGGGTCTGGTGTTTGCGCAAAATCAGGGACGGCGTCGCTGTGGTTTGTGTTCCTGTGGGGGTCCGGAACAATAAGGCTTTGACTTCACGCACATTGCAGATATGCGCGTGATTGGAACTGCTGTTCATGGTACCTAAGTCGGCTTCGACGTCATTGGAAGGGGAAGCATCGCTTGACAGGCCTCGTGCAGATCTCGGGATGCATATGCAGCTAACCTGGCGTGGAAAGATTGAGTAACCGAACGATCGCACACGTGGCTGCATGTAATATTGATGCCGAGGCACGAACAGGTGGTCAGAGAGATGAATATTCAACACCGCAGATACAAAGGAGTGATCGGAATGTGCTGTGTTTGGAGGTATTCTCGTGCTGACCTCCGAGACCATCCGTGTGCGCATTGAACAGACTCGCGCACGCAACAGTGCGTCAAGCAGCGTTCGCAAAATCATCTTCATGTTCCTGAGGTAGACCCTGAGATCTCGGAAAGATATTTCGATGTTCTAGACCCGCGCAAAAAATTAGGTGGTGTCGTGACGTCCCCACTTCCGCCCAAGACCGAAAAAAAACCTCCCATCTCTCCACCACCCACATCAGCACCACAACGAGAACAAAAAAAAGTTGCTCATGCAGCGACGTGAGCAAAAGGATGGACGATCAGGGAATCGAACCCTGGACCACTCCCATGCTAAGGGAGTATTATACCACTAAACCAATCGCCCGATTTTGCACTTGGGGCTGTTGACGCAACTCGAGGAGCTGCTTGTTGATGGAGGATTTGAAAATAGGTTCGTACATAATTCAAGGCAATCGAGGTACAGAGCAGGTTGTTGGATTCGTGTTGGTAGGTTGGGAGGTCTAGTAAGATTGTGGAATAGTGTCAGACATCGCGAAGGGGTATTCACGAACAAGCCCCACTTCCAAGGTAAATGCCCTTCTATTCCGATTCAAGAAAGGCTTCATTGCGTATCTGTTCATGATTAAGAAGCCTACGTGTCCACAATTCTTATTCGCAGAGGACATGGCAGTCCCGCAGTTCACTTCCAACGAGGCAAGCATTGCGACTTCTTCATGAAAGAACTTGACCTCGTGCATGTAAATTACGCAGAAGTCCGCAATACTCTTTGATAAATCGAGATGAGATCTTGAAGGATGGATAAGATGTTGCGTTAACTATGGAACATATGAGCAAGTGGGTAGGTATCGTCGAAAAGATCGTAAGAAGTTGCATCTAACGACTACAATGATCTTGCTGCTCGTGATTGTGATGGGACTGCGGAGGCAGGCGTATACATACTAGTGCCTAGTGTACAAACTAAGTGGCATGTTTAGAGTTGAAGCATGCACAGTACCGAGACTTTTACGGATTGAATTGTACTACGAGTGTTGGAGTATATATGGTCTTCTGTCGTGCTGGTTTCTCTAGGGTTGATACCGCGAATGCTTCTACGGCAGATCGTACGGAGTTCTGTCCAAGTAAAGGCAAAGTGATTCTAAGCAGTGTGATTCTGGAGAGTGTAAAAATGGTATCAACATGTCTTGTGGGGGATGTAAGCAGCGTTAAAGAATCTGACTACCGTCACTATATGCTTAATAGCAGGAAATAATGTAAAGTAGAAGACTACCTTAAACAGCTTTGGCAAGAAGTGTTGGGCTATGCGCTCGAAGACTCTTGAGTAGCGAAAGAGTTAACTGCAGCAGTCTCCCTGCTAGGCATGCATGTCTGTGATAGCATAGAAGTAAGCCGCACTTAAGAGACTCTAAAAAACAGTCGTGCAATGCGAGTAGAGCTCACATCTGTAAGTAGACTATAGTGCTAGGTCTAGCCAACCGGCGCGAAACGATTGCCGTTCGTGTCATATGTGGCAACTCCTTCTAATACTAGAACACGTCTAACAGTAAGAAGGTAAAGGTACGGTAGTGTACAAAAAGCTAGAGAGTGTTTTGTAGTATAGTAGCAGCGCCGATACTTAAAATTCAGCCTAACGCCTAGTCATGATAAAGACAGGCGACGAAGAGACCGTGCTAAGTGTCTTCATACCAATCAGCGCGCCATACCGCAGGCTTTAGTGCGAAGGATGTCTGTTGCCTATGTCTTCCCAGACATGTTCCAGGGCGTATAACTATGCTTGCGCATGCGATCTTGCTTTGCAATAGCATACGCGCTACGTTGTTCTACTTTCGCACGGAGAATGTATACTACGCGTTTGTGAAAAGACTGACTAAAAGACACATCTCTACGCTCCATCTTCATAACATAGGAAGCGCGCTATGCTTAGTTATTCCAATGCGGAGAAGACTTGCGCACGAGTTCATGAAAAATGAACACAAGCAATTCCGAGAGGCTAATAACGCAGATTACGACTTAGTCTAGCTTCGAAGTAGGAATTTATGTTTCTCGTTGCCTCCGGAACAAGTAGAACAGTGATTCAACATCAATCCATTTGTCGACGGCCGCGGTGTTTTGTCCCAGCGCTATACCTTGCAGACCTTGAATACACAGACAATCTACAGATTGAGAAGATGTATATGTTAAGAGATATACTTACTGCGCGAGTATACGAACGCGCCCGGCTGAATGATTTCAGCGCGAAGTGGAGCAGCAGCCAGGCAGAACATGGAAGGAAATCGCAGATCAGCACGAAACCTTGGTTATACAGACAAATCGGGGCGCCGAACGTGGTAACTTCAGCACAGGAATATGCGAACTGTGTCAATGTGGATGAAGAGAGAGAAGACAGCAGCAGGTGGCAGAATATGGTAAGCGATATCGTAAATGTACTGCGCTCGTTCTGATGATTTGACCGAGCAGTAGGGCCGTCGCATTCGCAGATAACATATTGTATCTTGTGACCATACGATCTTCATTCGACATACTACTGACTAGAACACTCTCACAAGTTCTCAAAGTCAGAATCTTTATCGCCATCGTTCTCTACCTCCTCCTCCCACCCTCCTCCTTCAACCAAAGCTCCTCGCGGTGATGACGCTCAAGGTGAATCAGCGACTTGGCTGCAGTCGTGTACGACCAGTCTAGGCACAGGGGACATGACGCGCTACCTGTGCATCCGACAATCTTCAACTCGTTGAACGCCCTCATAAGCTCTTCACGGCGCGTGTGTACCTTTCCCTTCATGAGTTTCTCGAGTTGCGCACGGTTCCCTTTCTTGTCTTTGGCGGCCTGCGAAATCGTTTGATCAAACTGGCAGAGCCAACACTTCAACCCAGAGATGGTCGGACTTGTATGCGCACTGATGGCCCGAAGGAATGCTGCACGTTCTTCTTTTGTAGCCGCATCGCATTCCTCAACCCCATCAGCAATGTTCACCCGAATGTCCTCTTATGGTAAACCTCGCCGATGCAACGGCTCACCCCGTGGGTGTTGCTTGCCGTCATTTTCCTCGAGTGAATCGGCGTCCAGACCCTCTTCCTGGTCAACATCCTGTTCGGTTGTCTCATCCTGTTCGTTGCGCCGCTTCAAGGCCTCAATAGCGCTCAAGCGCTCAATGTAGAGACCCTCAAGCTCGGTTTGGGCATCTTTAGCCTCTTTACGGATCGATTTTGGTGCAACACCTTAACCGGCGGTCAGTCCTGTAGTTGTTGATTTGGTGGAAGTGTTCAGCAAAGATCGCATCTCTTCGGTAAGATCTTCTAGTATAGTGTTCCGTTTACTTTTGTGGATCTTGTTCAGTACCAGCCTTCGCTTGTAGAAGACAGCCTCAAGCCTCTTGAGGACAACTCCAGCTGCAGAGTCTCCATCCCTCAACATAACCTTGTAAGCGCCAGTGACACTGCCGGTATAGCCTCACGATCTGGGTGTATCATCGCCGCTGTTTCCGTATCAGAAACTCGCGCATGTCGTCGATCGTTGTCTTGAAGGATTGGACTATCTCGACTAACTTGGAGTCTGCTCGCTCGCGTTCGCGAAACCGCTCTTCGACCTCAGCGCGAAGCGTGATCTCGTAGTTCTCGTGCTGTACGTATCCTGTCTGAGCTGCCTGCTCAAACATCTTTCTTGCTTCTCGCCGACTCATCTGCAAATCTGAAGTCAGTATACCTAGATGCTTTCGCAGCGCAAAGCCTTGACTCACCCTCTCTCTGCCTAGTATGTAGGACTGAATATCGATGTCACCGACGCCGACCGCATCGTAGTATTCGTGGGCGTTCGAGTCGTCGGCATGTGCTGCAATTGCCCGCGCCGCCGCCTCTCCGTGTTCATGTTTGGTTTCGATGATACGTGTTCGACGAAAGCAATACATTGTATTGCGTTGTGGAAAGCCTAAGTCGATGCATACCTCGCGCAGGCGAGAATTCAGCGCAGTAGACTTCATCGGCTCCCCAGACGTGATGGTCGAGTGGCGGTTAGCTGCCAGGAACACCGCTTGGTTCGAAGCGATGAACTCAATCTCGAGCCAGACGTCGTCCGTGCGAAGAATAGAAGAAGCCAGTCATATCAGGGGGTCCCCAGGTAGCATTGCTACCTTCATTACATCATCAATCGCTAGAGGTTTCTTGCTGAAGTAGCTAGGAGGTCGTCAGCCATGAACGGAGCAACGCGGCTCTTCCGTCCACACATGTGTAGTTGGCACACTAGTCTTAGGATAGTGAACTCATCGTCGTCAGAGTTACATGTAGTCAATATAGTGCTCTATTGAAGTGTTTTTATCGATGATGGGAGTTGATGTAGTCAGCACGCGGGTTCCACAATTGCAAGGATTTCCAATATAACGTCGATGTAGCAGCCTGCGGATTGTATTTTTATCATCATTAAGCTAGATCTGCGGTCTTGGCTGCCATGGCGACAAGAAAGGGTATCTTCCTGTATTCGCGCGTGTAGACCTCGCCTGGCATCCATGCTGAGGTCAAGCCGACGAAGTCCTTGACATATTTGGCGACATTCAACCCAACTTTGACGCCATCTGTCCACTCACCCTCTTTGTTCTTGTCCTGCTTGTAGACGTCGCCCTCCTCTTTGATTGTACTGTTCACGGCCATGTTCATGATGACGCTCGATTTTGGGATAAAGCAATCTGTGGCCAGCCTTTTTGTGTTTTTCCGGCAAAGAATGCACGTCGGGTAGCCATAACCATGTAGGGGACGAGATTGGCAAGCGTGGTCAGCTGTACAAATCCAGGCGGTGACGGAGTGATCATCATCTAGTGGTTTCGCATCCGACGGATAGATGACGTTGTATTGTGTGAAATGGGAGCGGCCGGTAGCGAAGCTTAGCTAAAAGATCAAGGTCAGTATACATGCTCGTGTTATGAATTAGGGATTACTCACTGTGCGTTGGATATCCTCAGTTGTGACGTCCAATACCCAATACGTGTCGGCCCTTTCGATCATTCTCTTCAGCTCTGTCTCGGCAACTTCGGGACCCAGTTTTCCTTTTTTCTTCTCATCTTTAGGCGCCGAAATGACCTGATCGTGCGCCGGTTCGGTCAAAGATTCGCGCTTCGGATCGGTCAACGGAAGCCAGATTGCGCCGCATCGAGAGGGTTCTCGCGCGCCATGAGTAGATCGAACATGGCATTCGATGCGTCGTTTGGAAATGATACGGGGACGTCCCAGAGTGAGGGTAGACGAGCACACATGGTTTCGGTTTCTTGATCTTTTGACACAAGACCAAGGTCTGGAGACCGCGCCACATGTTTTCAATTTTTCTTCTTTTTGGAAAATCCTCGTTTTGAGAAGGTGAGTGTGTAAGAAGGAAGAAAGAGTCGTAGGCAAGTTGCTTTTATACGTCGGCAGACCGAGAAGCTAAGAGTGATGTCGGCAGGGTACTACGGCCTTTCGTACGCGCCGGCAGGAAGCTCATTTGGCGCCGGGGTGGGGTTTCCTCAATAATGGTGAGAGTCATGCTGCTGTCCACCAGTACATCTCTGGCAGCGTCCCTCCAGTGGTCACTGATCTTCTCAAACCACGATCTATCGCCAGGTAGATCGTACGCCTGCGTAACGATGGTCTCGTCGATGCCGAATTCTTCGAGGTTCGCGCCGGTAGCCGCCAGTGTGGCGCCTTTCAAGTCTTTGATACAGTCGTCCTTGTGCAGATTGAGGATATGCTGTGCCTCTTGTGGTGTGAATGATCCTGGTGCTTTCCCGGTGTACTGTGTCTGTGTCTGCGGGTCAGTCCAGATCGATGGTTGACAAACCCTTCCTGCGATCGCCCTCGAAGCTTCGAACGCCGCTTCAGAATTTCACAATAGCATCTGCGCTCCATTGGCGAGGGATTGGCGCGAGTCGACTACTTGGCGGCGTGCGTTCTTCTCCTTGCTGTCTTGATCGACAAGGATGGAGATGTGTTCATGTCTCAAAGCCATATACGCTCCTGTCAGCCTGTCATATTCTTTCGCCGACTCTTCTTTTGTCCAGGACTTGATGGAAGATTTCGCAAAGAACATGTCGTGGGGATCGTATGCCTGCATGGCGACTGGGTACTTGATATCGATTCCGCGTTTCACCTACGAAGTCAGTATATGTTTACGGGTATTGCGCCAAAACTTACCTCTGCTTCATGCTTCTTGTTTCCTCTATCCGCGTTCTCAGGTGTGGGGTAAGGTCCGGATGGTGTAAGGGCTGTCGCTTGCGCTACTCCAAGGGGAGCAGGCGCGGTAGGCTTTGTGGGCCTGTTTTGTCGTGAACTGCATGTCGTGTAAGACAGCTTCAAAGCTCTCTACAAACAGTGCCGTTCTCAACATCCATGCTTGGGTGTGGAAGGCGCGTGATCATCAATGGAATGTGGTGAGCTTATTGTCGGCGTTGGAAATGGCGCGCTGACTTGCGCGCCATTTCCGGCCATGGCGGCGTCTGGGGAGATCGTCACCGCTTGTGATAGGAATTGTCTGGTGTTTTAGGTTGCTGAAGTGGTTTCACTTGGGCAGTGGTCTTGCAATACTACCTAGGTAGTCAGAGCTTGTGCAGATGATGCCCGGGTGGTGCAGAAGAAGAAGTTGGAAGTAGTGGGTTGAAGGAGTGATGGAGGAGATGTGCGAGAGTTATTGTATTTGTATGCGCTGCTTGATGCTGTTGCAGGTTGCAGGTGAGAGAGCTCCGGTATCGCGGTGCAGCCCGGCACGTGGCGGTGGAGTCCGCGCTATCACGTGCGGGCACTCGCAAGATAGCCACCACGTCCACTTACATATATGAGGTCTGCTAGTCTTATCAGTTTCTTCACATATGTGTATGTTCCCCCGATGGTGTATATATCTAGCCTTGTCTTGTTTGTTCAGTCCAGGTTCCCGGGGGCTGGGTATGACTTCAATGCTGCCGTTGATGATTTTGAGCGAATGCTAATGGTTGGCCTCGGGCCTGCTGTAATATGTGCGAATATCAATCATCTTGGATGTGGTCTTAATGCTCCCTTCACGATCGTGTGGTACCAAAGTAGCTGCAGATCATGGTGATAGTGCCCGGAAGAAGCTGCGCACCGTCGCTCATCACATCATGTATCCGTGGATATTGGCTACAGACGTGGCGCATTTGGATGACACCCAATGCAGTATGATACTTTCGCACTAAAAAAGCTCAGTCGTAGGAATCTCACAATGTAAGATCTTGGGTACATGATTTTAGGTAATGTCTGGACTGCGCAGGCAATTTCTGCGTATGTACTAATCGTGACTTTGTGGTAACAGTGTTCTGATCGTCAGGTGTAGTAACAACATAAGTTCGTGCTGCTTCCGATCGCGGAGCGGCTGGCTGTGAATACCTAGGTAAAGGTAAAGGTAAAGGCAGATGGGGCAGGGTGGCGAAAAGACAGCAAAACGACAGCGAAAGGAGGCAAAACTTGACACTAGGTGGGGCAAGGGGGGAAAGGACGTCGCGGTATGTGCGTGATAGCTGGACTAGCGGTGTAGCACGTGGTAGCTCTGTTGCGCTGGTTGACTTTCCAGTTTCGGCACGGCTGTCCCTTGCGAAGATGTATGTTAGATGACAGCAGTGCTTACTCTTTAGTAGTGTACGATTGCAAAGGCCTTGCATGTTTGCTTTCGTGAGCTTTACTGTAGTGATCCGCCAAAGGCCCTGACCCATGTATACCTAGGTACCCCTCAAGTCTTCGCGCCGATACCTATCAGCTACGGCGCTACTCGCGTCCACTCGACTGCTTTGGCCACGCCCGGGTGGTAAGTTGCCCTTGATAACGATCCTGCGACGGTTTGTACTTGTGGAAAAACCAGGTAACAGGGCAGTATCCAGGTATTGAACGAGGAATCTGGCCTTATCGGCGTTTGCGGCAGTAGTAGTAGTAGACAGAGCCTGTGATGGATCAGTCGTGATCATCAAAACTTCTGTAACTCGAATAGCGTTTCCAATCATCACTGTAACGCCATCGCGACCTTGCTATTGTTGGTGGTAGATCCACTCGGTAGACGACTAAAGCTTTCGGAATCAACCAGTCGGCAGCATCTATTCCCTGTCCTATGTCTTGATGAAAAGATCGGATTCCTAGTTTGTAACCATTTCAGATATAAGCACGAGATCTTGCAGCACCTGAACGAAGCCGGCTCCGAACGAGTGGATGCCACGCGCGGTCGATGACCGCATCAATGTAATCGACCGGAAACGACGAACAGCGATGCAGAGAGGCCATACTGCTCGTGCCATAGTGGAGGTGGTCGAGAATGGAGTGTTTTACTTGTGGAATCCGTGAATACTATTGCTCGTAATGCGAGCACAGCATTATGCTATTATGTTTCATCGGAGACACCATCAGACGACGAGTTCGATAATTACCTGTGGATTGCTCGATCAGAGGTGCAAAATGCGAGCAAAGTGGCAACAGGAGTGGCTGAATATCGTGTCACATTTTATCTTGCTGCATACGCACTATTAAACGTGAGCAAATGAGTTCTTCTTAGGACAATGTATACCTCAGTATTGATGAAATTTTGGCGGAATGCGATACGAATTGCAGTCACCCCTGATCTCAGCTGGCGGAGCGTTGAGAGTCGAGATTGCTCCGTCGTAGAAGTGATCGCATTGGGCCGATGTCAATGGGCTTGCCAAGTATTCCTTCCAGGCGTCGATCTTTCAAGTCATGTGTTGTTGAGAATGTAAGACTGCGCCGTGGTCTTGGTGCGTTGGCATGTTGTCGCGTCCTGATCACTATTGTTCATCAATACCGAACGAGCCGCTCGAACGACATGACGAGACTGCTGCGGATCCGGGGAAAGTGAGTCTTCGCGGGGTAGTCTGTCGCGGGGTATCGTCCGATTTACGTTCATGGTGTATCTTGATATCGAACTTGGGTATCGGACTGGGTTACATCTTCGAGATGGCGTTGCGTGTCTGTCGAGACCGTGTCCAACCAAGACCCTAACCCTGAGCAAGATTACGTGGTCCTTGGGAATTTGTTCTGGAGTGCGTCTGTAGTAACCCAAGCTCCAATAGAACTACCAGACGACGTGCTGTAGCGACCAATCGTTGAAGACGCAGAAAAACGCGCTCTCCGCGGGATATTGACGGGTACGAAACGTGGAGGAAGGCGTAGGTAACGTGAACACGCGAGGCTATCTGTGTCAACGTCCGTGCTGTTGAGCACAGTGTCACGGCAGCCCCGAAGCTTAACGAGAACAATGGCTTTTGTCGATAGTCTGGAAGCGAAGGAAGGAAGTCACATCATCTCCACAAGATGAGAGTGCGAGTGTGGTTCAGCTGCACCTGACATTCTCGGCTATCGTTTCGTTATTGCGTAATGACATCAGAGCTGCCCATGGATTGCCTTGCGCAACATCGCTAGGTAATCACCTTTATCGCCGCGCAATACGGTAAATACGACAGAGTTCAGGTCGCGACAGAGTTCAAGAAACAAACCGTTGGCCCCGCGCCTAAAGCTGCACGCCTATGCTTTTTGCCTTTTCGCCAGACATTCTTGGGAAGCTGTGGCAACTCAGTTACTGATCAGTAGTGCTGGGTAAACCGCGGGAACTCTGCATCAGTTCATCCGAACCCAACACCGTGTTTCGAGACAACGGCGCCGAAGTATTGACCGCTGCAGATGTGCCCAGAGAAAATTATCGCACCGAGGCCGCACATGTCAGCATCACGGCGTCGATCTGAATTCGCTCAGGAAATTCGGTGGAGAACCACGTTACATACAGAGAGTTCAGAAAGAGCTACACGTGCGAGCAAGGCCATCCACGTACCATATGTCTCTTGTTAGGCAACCCGCCGGGTTATTTAAAGAGTCTGGAGTAGAGCGACGGAATCTGGGCCGTCCCCAAAGGCCAGGACCACGGATCTATCTACGCGAAATCTCGGGCGCTAACGTGATCTACACGCCCGATTTGGCAACGACCCAGGGGTATGTCTTGGCTTATGACCGCCACAAAGCCTCCGAGGCGAAGACAGCACCTGCATGCTCCTTCGCGACATTGTGCCATACGCGCGTTGCGAGCTGGAATCATGTCCGGATTCCGAGAAAGCCAGAAGCCGTGGAAGCCCGCATGCGCTTGAGTGTCTGTCGTAGACTTGATCAAAGACCTCATCTTACTCATCTTCCTACACAGCACACTCCCTGTCAAGACTTACATTATTAACTCTCCGCTAGCGGGCTACCTCCTGTATCGCAGTCTCAGTGTCAGCCTCGACCAAATCTGACACGCGCGGCGGCTGACCCGTCCCATAGCCAAGCACACTACACGCTCCACGGGCGTCGTGGGCATCTTTTTCTAATGTCTGGGCATGCGGTAGTTCAGTTCGCCTCTTATATGGAATTCGCACCCACATCCCTTTGTTGCTTTCTCTTGGTCTATCTTTTTTTCCTTGCTCACTTTGTGAAAAGGTCAAAAGGCGTCTGTTCACTCTTTACAGTGTCGTCTTTACCTTTTGTTCGGACTTAATATCGGTCGATCTATTTGATCTTACACTCGTTTATTCCTACGATTAGGAGTTTTATTTTAGGTGGAGAGATAAACACGTTATCATAATGCGCTACACTGGACTATACGCTGCGGCTCTGGTCGCACCCCTCGTGGCTGCTCACGGCGGCGGCGACTTCCCTGTACCGAAGATTGTCGGTCTAGGACCCCGAGAGATTGGTCAACTTAGGAGCAGGAACATTCTTGGTGGACATGCGGCGCACGTTGCAGGGCCCAATCTACGTTTGACGGCACGTCAAGGTGGTATTGATGGCCGGTGCGGACCGAACAACGGCGGTGCAAGCTGCGCTGAGGGCTACTGCTGCTCTGTGGAGGGCTACTGTGGTCAGGGAGGTAAGGTATTCGGGTACAACTTGAGAGACCAATGCTAATCTTCATAGGCGACTACTGTGAAGCACCCGACTGCCAGTTCCAGTACGGCCCTGCTTGTGATGCCAACAAACTCCCTACTGGCGGCAGCACTCGCAACATTGCTCGTCCCAAGCTCGGCAACCAGCCATACGGTGGAGAGGGCATCTACGACTGCACTGAGCCGAACACGATTGCCATCACATACGATGACGGTCCTTACATCTACACTGAGGGTGTGTTGGATCAGTTCAAAGCTGCCGGAGCAAAGGCCACTTTCTTCGTCACCGGTGTCAACATCAACAAGGGCGCAATTGACGACACAAGCAAGCCGTGGGCTGCTACCATCAAGCGCATGATCGCCGAGGGACATCAAGTTGCCAGTCACACATGGTCGCATCAAGATCTGAGCGCAATCACCAGTCAACAGCGATACGACCAGATGGTCAGGAACGAGGTACGATTTAATAATCT